TATACTGGTAGTTCCTACGACAGCAAGTGGATGCCTGATTCGTCTTTGGATCTCCCATAGGCCTGAATATGGGACCTTCTTACAAGGCACTCAGGGTCTGCTGAGATGAAAGTTCATTTACATTAACAAATCTACAGCCCCTTTTAGGATGACTAAAGTGAGTGGACCCTACTTCATGTTAACAATTGTGCGTCTTTGTTTTTATACGCTGAAAGGCAAGGAATTCCTTGGTACGGCTCTTCTAGCCATGGTGCTTGTGGCCCACCAAGGGATCTGATAGCTTGTTGGTAATGCAAATAAGGTACATGGTACCTTGTGGGACTGGGACCATGGAAATAAGGTATATGGAACCCTAATGTGGGATTAGTCAGTTTTGCCATCTTACTAGGCTTAAAATGAGCCATTCCAGATGATCCCCCAAAAGGGGGATCTCACTACCATCAAGAGGGGAGAATCAGGAGTGGAGAGTGTCCTTGGACCCAAGATCCATGAGCAGAGAGACAGTGAGAAACAGAAGAGGCAGAAGAACCAAGAGACCAGCATAAGACAGAGCAGTGGGCTTCCCAGGCCACAGAGTAAGAAAGCTAAGTGCCTTTGGGCAGGAGGCTTGCTGGTGGAGTGGGGTGCCTTTTGGGGTGCCTATCAGCAAAGCTAAGAGTTTTCTAACACTGGTCTGAGCAGGGCAGAGGCCGAGGCCAGGGAGAAGTGTGCTTGCGACATGACTGAGAAGAAGCTGTCCTGATTGAAGAACTGTATCCTGAGTTCTTTCTGATCTTGAATTGTAATCTGTTACTTCCCTAATAAATCCCATAACTGTGAGTATTGTCAGTGAGTTCTATGTGACCACTGCAATGAATCATCAAACCCAGCAAAGAAGTAGAGAGTGCCATGGGAGGGACGGTTGGTGTCAGATTTGGTAGAAAGGTTGGAAGGTGGTGGCATGTCTGACCTCCACCTCATAAGAACCAGCCTTGGGCTGCTAATGCTCATCTTGATTCTCTCTCTCCCTTATGAAGTTAGAGGAAGTTAGAGGACACCACTGCCATGCCCTTTTTGCACATGCCAAAAATTATTTCTTGTTTCAAAGAGGTATAAAAGAAATAATCTTTAGACCTAACATGTATCAGTCACTTTTTTTTCATTTATTTTTATATTTGGACCAAAAAAAACAGGAAACTAAAAATAAATGTTGAATTAATTAAATAATTTTAACTCTGGAAAGGACTCTATATTTCATTTAATCTAATATCTTAATTAAAAGTAAAAAAAGAAAAAAAAAGCTAACTACAGAGAAATTCAGATATTTATACTTCTTCTAAGGAGCTCTGCAGTGTGGTAGGTAAGACATTTGTCTGTTAACCAGGTCAGTGGTTCAAATCTACCAGCTGCTCTGTGGGAGAAAAATGAGACAATCTACTTCCATAAAGATTTATAGTCTTGGGGGGGGGGGGAGAAGATTTATATCCTTGGAACCCCAATGGGATCACTATGAGTTGGAATCAAATCAATGGCAGTTGATTTGGTTTTGGTTTTTGGTTTATAGTTCTCGATCACAAAGCCAGAATCAACAATTCAATTTTGCAGACCCTGGGAAAGAGTATGGTTAAAAAAGAAAAAATAGCACTCTGCAGAGAAAAAGAGTTCATTGAAAAATAGTATAGAATACAAAAAAAAATATTTTCCCTATCAGTCCTTTTGTCCACAATGAATACTTTTGTCCACAAAGAAAATTATGCTTTCATAAGCATTAATGAAAATATTTGTAGTGTTTAATGTCTTTAAAAGCTTTAGTATAAAAATCAGATTTTTTCTGATTCTCAGATCCTTTACCCTTACAGCAGAAACGGATTCTACACAGTTGGCAATGAGAATTGTTCTGAAGTTCTTCTCCTGGGTATTCCAATATATTTGGGTGACACTGGTCAATAACAGGTGTTCTTAACAGTTGCAGAAGTAAGATAATACATCACGGCTCTGCTGAGAGGTACACATTCACACATGTTCTTTCCCATCACAGCTTAGGCAAATGCAGCAGGTGCACTCAGATCTGACATACTTTACTCCATTCAGTTCTGCTATTATTGACAGAATCTCTGCCCTTTCTTTGCCCTGTCCCATCTTACGGCTGCCATATCCCCATCCTGGTGGATCTGACCCAGTCTAATGGACACCCCAGATCAACACACACATACATCCATACAGACATACACACATATGTGCACACATGCACAAAATAGGTCTCATCACTAAATTTGAATTGTAAATGAATTAGGTTCCAATTCTAAATATATATAAGGATATGTGTGTGTATATGTATGTATATATATATATATATATCTCACTCAGATATGTAATATATACAAATATACGTGTCTGCCTCTTCTCGATTTTTGCAGTGATATATAATCACTCAGACAAAGACCACCTAGTTTTAAACATTCTCCCATTCATCACAGAAGGTGGTCTATGAGACCTGGTTTTATTATAGCCTATCCCCACCATTCTGCACTTCCCATGGCTGCCTCAGTGGCACAGGGAAGCATATAGGTTTTGGAGCCAGCTACATTGGGGCTTAAATCCTGGTTGTGCCATTTACTATTTGTGTGACCTTGAGAAATTACTTAACTTGTCAGTATAAGGATTTCCTTATTTCCAACATGAGGATACTAATGCCTACTTCATGGAGGTGTAAGGTTTTGAGGTCATGTAAGCAAATGGGTGCTACTTGGTAGTGCTCAATAAATAATAGCTATTATGATAAAGGTGATGTTGAAAGAGGGAAGAGGAGAAAACGGAGGGGAGGAAGATGGTAGTCCCTATCTCCTGAATGCCTTCTATATTTCAGAATTTCTTAGCAAGGCTGAGCAGAACATGACTGTTGGCCTTTATCTGGGGAGTACTAAACTAGAAGTAAGGGGTAAGAGAACTAGTGGAGGGGGATGGAGTCCATAAATGGCCAGCACTTAATATACTTAATGTGATTATTATTATAATATGTGAGTTTATATACGTACACACTTTCCCCACTGGGAAAGAGAATTTCACAAGAGGAAATTCAGCATCTTTTGAGGAGTCCAGGCCATTTTTGTTGCTTAACAGGACTGGACTCCATAAGGCAGAAAGAATAATTTCCTGTCCCCCCGTCAATGGCTAACCATAGAATTTCCAGTTACAAAAGCATGTCTCAGGTGTTTTCTCCCCTTGGAAACTTTAATAACTATGAGATACTCTATAGATCACAGAACAAATGTCCAGCTACTTTCTGGAGTCAAAGAGTAAGAATAAACAGCCAAGTCACTAAACAGAGTTGCTGTTATGGTCTGAGCCATCCAAAGTACAATGAGGAAGGAAGAAGCCCTGACCTACCCAGAACGTGCCCAGGAGGAAAGAGCCTGCCTGAGATGCCATTCTGTTTGCAAACACATGCTGCCCGCCCTATCAATCCACAAAACAATTCTATCAAAAAGCCTGAAGGCAAATGACTAATATTAAAGGTGATATGTGTATCATTTCTGTGATGACTCCACAGGCGTCAATTAAACACGAAAAAGACCTGTTCCAAAGCATGACCATCTGGCGTTTCCTAGTGAGCTGTAGCCAATGGCTGATAAAACACAGGTGATTATAATCATAAAGAAATTTAGCAGCCCTTTCCTTGCTCCAAAGCAACCAGGGACTATGGGGACAATGAACCTGGAAGACCTCCAAAAGAGGAGGAGAGGAAGGAAAAACCTGCATTGGAAGCCAGCACTGCTCTTCCTCATGCATAGAAAGCAAAGATCTGGGGTTGTATAAGGTCATCTTTTCAGCCAGCAAAAAAGGCAGACTAATCCAAGGGATGTTTGGGAGTTTGCCTGGTGGTGTCTGGGAGATCTTCAATTATTATGTCTCCAGGTGAGAGACAAGATTGGCAAGTAGTTGGTTCCCTGCTCTTAGAAGTGCTTTCCAAGTACCAGCATCATAGCATCTTGCCCAGCACGCTAGGGCAAGATCACTGTAGCCCAAATATCCTCCCTAGAATTCATGCCTTAACCAGCTTTTGAATGGAAGGAAAAGGACACACTTAACAAATCAAACCAGAATGATGTCAAGGTATAAAGCAGAGACAGCAGTTGGAGCAGAAGTGCCTTTTAAAGCTGCAGTACTGGATCAGGCAGGCAGACACCTGTATATATATAGACAAAGCTTCAAACATCACCACCTCATCACACCTAATGACTGCTTGCGATGAAAGCATTCTCTATTTCTGGCTTTCTCAACAAGAAAAATATGTGTCTTCATACTCAGTCCTGGTTCGGAACCTGTTCTCTACTGCGAATCTATTTTTTTTTTCTTCTTGTTGTTCCTTTCTCCAACATACAAGGTCAGATACGTTAGAAAGGAAAGATTTTTGTTTTAATTTTGATTTAGCTCTAAAATTGTTAGACTTTTTTTTATTCACTTACCCTTGAGCTTTCCTTTTCTCTTTAAGTGGTTCAAGTAAATGCACCCATCACATGCAATGGCCCCAACATTAAGAAGATAATATTCTTAGAATGAGACTAAACTCATTGCCATGGAGTCAATTAGGGCTCATAGCTATGCTACAGGACACTAGAACTGCCCCATAGGGTTTTCAAGGCTGTAAATCTTTATGAAAGCAGACTGCCACGTCTTTCTCCCCTTGAGAGACTGGTGGAGTTGAACCACTGACTTTCTGGTTAGCAGCCAAACTCTGCTGGCACTGTGCCAGCAGGGCTCTTTTAGAATGAAACTATTAAGTAAAATAAAAAATAAAATAGCGATGCTTCCATTCTCATGAGTCCCCCTTGCCAATGATGCAGTGTGTTTGAATCTCTTTAAAAGGGCTGCTCCTGTGTTCTTTTTGGTTTGAAAATAAAAAGGGCTTTAGTTAAGGTCACTGACAATTATTTTCTCAGCACAATAGAAATGCAACCCAGCCCATTAACAACACTAACATGGCAGAATTAACACAGTAGGAAGTAGGAATAGAAGAATACCTGGGATTGCCAGATTGGAAAGGGGGACGTTGTGGAGGTGAGGGGACAGCGAGGCCATCCAGTCGGCATTGCAGACCTCCGATGATGTCTTTGTCCCGCTGGGGTTCGGGGAGCAGATGGTCCCCATCCTGAGTTTCCTCCTGGCTTTCCTAACTGCTAGCATCCCTCTCGTAAACAGTCTGTCCCGGGCTCTGCCCAGAGACACTCACTCAGTGATCATCACTGCCAGGGCTCTGTAGACATTTCAGGGCCACCTCTGTCAAGCCCGTCGTTTGCCAGGGACACGGAGTAAATAGGTGGTTCTCTATCCACCTTCCACCACCTATAGTCCTCCTCCCCCTGGTTCACCCAGCCGCAGCTCCACTCCCTTAATCTGCTCAGTCCCAGACACGTTAAACTTCTTACGTTCCCTTCTGGAGCTGGGAGGAAGATAGGCTCCTGGAGATAAATCTCACAGAAACTGAATGTCCGCGGAGCAGCCACGCCCGGAACCACTCACACGACAGGTGCCCACGTAACACAAACCAAACCCATGCCTGAGGGTCCATACACATGTGCACGCTGAGCACCCCACCTCCAGCCCGATTTAGGCTTCTATATATATGTCACTGGGCTGGTACTTATGCTGAGCCTGCCTGCTAAACGCTCCCCTTGCTTCTCATCAAGATTCTCCCTGCCCTGTGGCTTCCTCAAAGGCCCTCAGAAGTGTAACCTGCGGCGCCCCGACTCCCTGCAGCTCGGCCCGGACTCTCGGCAACCCCGCCCCGCAAATGCCGGGCAGAAGTGGCTGGCAAGGCAGCAGGTGATTGGTTGGTGGAGGGGAGCGCTGCGATTGGCCGGCGCCCTCCTGGGCTGTCCCTTGGCTCAACTGGCATTCTTTCCGCGATCCCCAGTCTCCACCCCTCGGTTACTCTCGCCTTCCCTTGCAATGACAGACTCAGCTGCAGAGACTGCAGACCTAGAAACTCTCAGGCATTGGCCAGTCAGACCTCAGATAGGTTTCTTTCCTCCGCCCTTTCACAATCAGCCGTCATATGTTAAACGTAACAACGCGTGTTTCCTTCCCCCTACCTGTCTCTCTCTGACAATTGCACAGAAAGTACATTACATTGTCAGTAAGCCACAGAGACAGCAAAAATATGATAGGAAAAGAAGCCGAGAAAGGTATATATATTTGGATGAAAACATCGAGGATGGATTGAACTTCACCATTACATAATTAAGACTCGCCTATCTAAACACCACTTCGCAACCGTTTAGTGCTTTGATTTCCATTTCACAGATGAAGAAATAACAATACTTTATATTTGCACTGATCGTTTATTTGGAACCCTCTTCCAAATCCTATGTACCATACGCTCTTCACAGTGCCCCCATAAGGCAGGGAGGAATGATTAAATGGAAGTCCAAGGGCACTGTGAATAATTCATGCTGTGGCATTATTAGAAAATGCCATTTTGGATTGAGACCCTCAAACCTGGAGGCTTCCAGGCCCATAAACCCATTTCTGTGCTTTCTCCATTGCTTGCAATGTTTCTTAGTCCTTCAGAAGGTACTTTTCCTTGGTGAAAAACTATGGATTCTTTACTGATAAGAGGACTTTGCACACAAAAATCATAAGAACATTTGGCCAACAGGCAAATAAAGAAAAGCACCCTGTCCTGGAAGGTGGGACCCTGGAGGATGCCATGTCAGGCTGCTTATGGGAAGGGTTTATAGGAAAAGGAAACAGCAGCCTGTGTTTTAGAGAAACTGAAGGGTCATATGTAGATCTGTAGGTCATCTTACATTTAATAATCAAATTACCCCAATTTATCTCCAAGGTAACATCTCAGCTGCGATGTCTTTGTCCCCAGCCCTGCCTTTCTACATACATAACTCCTGCTGCATATGAAAATTTCCACTTCCAGTCCATTCTTCACATTCATATAAACCTGCTTTCAGCTACATTTATTTTTCTTTCCTGTAGGAGTATTCCACCCCCCAAAAAAAACAAAACCAAACCCATTGCTGCCAAATCAATGCTGACTCAGCTATTCTACAGGAGAGAAAACTGGTTTCCACCATCGTAAATCTTTATGGAAGCAGATTGCCACATCTTTCTCCCCTGGATCAGCTTGGTGGGTTCAAACCATCAACCTTTTGGTCAGCAGCGGAAAGCTTAATCACTATGTCACTCGTGCTTCTTGGAGTATCCCTTACTGGATTAAAAAAGAAAGTGTGTAATATTTATCATCTATTTTCTAATGCTTAATGAACACTTCAATATAGTGATCTTTCTTCAAGTATGCTATAAGATTTAGGGAATATGTTTGAGTCAACAAAGTGTGTGTGTGTGTGTTTCTCCACCTCCCCCAGAAAAACTATTGTGTAAAGCGTTCTCTCAAGATTAGCTTTTTGAAATGTCACCTTTCCAGATTTCCCTTGAACTTAAAAAAAAAAAAGTAAATCCCCAAACACAAAACTTCGTGGAAGCTGCCTAAGGCAAACAAGATGTTCTTTTAAAACTCTGCTGTGAGATGCCTTTTCTTCTTTTCTTTTAGTTCTTCATGGAAGGAGTGAACATTGTAAGAAGGCACCAAACTTCCTAAACTTGGATACATCAGTATGTGAGAAGTCAAAAGCAAGAGAAGCAGAACCACTTCAGAATGAGATGTTTTATTCCTATGAAATTGAGAGCTCTCTCCAGCTTCCTCATTCACAGCTACTTGGTTTGTCCAAGACAACAGTCAGAAGGAAAGCAACAACTTCTTCATTTATTTTTGAGTCAGTCTTGGAAGAAAACTTGTGGATGAATACACATAGCTAGTGCAGTATTTGTTATATAACAGGTGCTCAATAACTATTTTAGGTCTGGGAGGGAGATGCTTGGTATAACATGTTCTGCTGGGCTCTAGATCATGCCTTAGTGCAGAGATTTTCAAACATTAATGTGCAAATTACTCATGTTCTGATTCAGTAGGTCTGAGATAGGATTCTGCATTTCTAACAAGTTCCCAGCTGCTGCTGCTGGTCCAGACCACACGTTGAGTGCCAGGGTCTTAGAGAGCAGCCTCATGCTCGAAAAGTGGGAATATGCATTGCCTTTTTCCTATTTCCCAAGGTTTCATACTATTTTTATAATTTTAAGATAACATTAAAAATCTTAGTTAAGAATCTGTAAGGATAAGAGGATAATTTTTATATTACATAATGGAAATTAAATTATTTGTGGAAATGTTCTACTATGCCATCAATGTTTACAGAAAAAGAATTTTTTAAATAAAAGTAAATATTTAGAATGTGAACCATTAATATTTTCTTACATATTGTATTGTGCATTTGTCAAAAGGAGAAGAGACTAAATTAATCCAAAACCAAACTTACTTCCATCAAGTCGGATCTGACTTATAGCGACCACTCCTTGGGTTTCTGAGGTGGTATCACTACAGAAGTAGATTCCCCAACCTTCCTCCTGAGGAGTGGCTGGTGGGTTTGAACTGCCAGCCTTCTGGTTAGCAGTCAAGGGGCTGCAATGTAAAGCAAATCAATTCCCATTATTAATAACAACCAAATGGAGTGTTTATCGTGTATCAACCATTCTGGTGAGTTCTGGGAATGGAGAAGTTGAATAACACTTGGTATCCAATGGACCTCAAATAATATATAATCTAGTAGAAAAGAGAGCCAAATATGTGAATTACAAATTGCAACATGAGTCAGAATGGAGGCAGAACAGGCATAAGTGGAGAACAATAAAGAGGCATACATTTTCATGGGTAAAAGGACAAGGAATTTGATAGTACAGGAGGTGGTATTCAAGCCATGAGAAGAGTTTCTGTAAATGGAAAATAGATGGAGAGTTGTAGCATGGGAAATTGGTATGTGGCTGGGAAAACAGTTATGACAATGAAGGGTAGATGACATGTGAGATAAGTGGGAGGGGAGGGGAGAGCGCATTTACTCTCATTTAAACTTTACAACAGCCCAAGGAGTTGGTAGGAGCTCTGGTAGCATAGTGGCTAAGTCACTTGCCTGCTAACCAGACGGCTGGTGGTTCAAACCCACCAGCCACTCCTCGGAAGGAAGGTTGGGCAATCCTACTTAGTGATACTGCCTCGAAAACCCAAGGAGGGGTCACTATGAGTTGGGGCCGACTCGACGGCACATAACAACAACAACAACAACAAGGAGTTGGCACGATTGGGCTTAAAAGCCACATGACTTTGCCCAAGATCTCATAGCTGGTAATTGGCAGAGCTATGATTCTAAGGATCTTTATCACTGTGCCAGGGTCATTCCATTATATGTTACTTATTATTTTTGTTGTTGTTAGTTGCTTTCAAATTCAGTCAATTCCGATACTGCATGTACAGAGTAGAATTGCTCCATAGGGTCTTTAAGTCTGTGACCATTTGGAAATAGATCACCAGGCCTGTCTTCCAAGGCACCTGTTGGGGTTTGAACCACCAGCTTTTGACTAGTCGTCAAGTGCCTAACTATTTGTGCCACCCAGGCACTGCTTCTACTACTATTAAATGGGGTGATACATGCTGTCTATTATAAACTCGCAAAGGCTGTTTATGACCAAAGCATATTAAATAATTAATTTTTTTATATTAAATAAAGCCATTGCAGGATTTTAAGAAGGTGAGTGAAATGATTCACATTGTGCTTTAGGAAGATAACTCTGGCAGACTGGAGAATGGCTTATGAAGACAAGAGTCTTTCAGGGAAATCATTGAAATAAATTATCTAAGCAAGAAAAAGTGAGAAAGCATACAAAAGGGTGAACACAGAGGCTAAATGGCCCTTCTTACCTCTTTTGTTTGCCTTCCACCCCCACGTCCGACTTCATATTATTCTAAAATCTGAGGAGTGGGCAGCCTGACTCCATTATTTGTCATCAGTTAAAAACTCAGTTCATACACTATATTTAATAGACTCATCAAATTGCTCCTTCACTTTTATTATATACAACCAAATATTTTTCTATGAATACACCCAAAAATTTTGTTTTCTTTTCTGGACCTTTTTCTTCATTACTTCATCATGTTGTTGTTTTTATGTGCCGTCGAGTCAGATCCAACTCATAGCAACCCCTCCTTGGGTTGCCGAGGCAGTATCACTATGGACGTAGATGCCCAACCTTCCTTCCGAGGAGGAGTAGCTGGTGGGTTTGAA